CTCTACATCGCAGCGTCTGGGTTTCCGAGCCCTGTCACAGTTGGGTGATGAGGCAGATGCACAAGGATTAACTTCGCTCGCTCAACAAGCAAAAGCAATTTTGTCCTTCACGGAGAAGTTACCACGACAAGCTCAACGAAAGGGACTCACGACTGGCGATGAATTCCAGAACCAACCTTTTTCTATTCACGACGAGCTTCTACCTGGTGTTAAAGCTCAAGGCGGTGCACTTGATGACCCCTTCTCCGATTTCAGGGCACCTGACGGAGCTATAGCATCGGCAAACAAAGCGTTAGAGGACCCCTTCGCCGATCCTATAGAATGTGCAACAACATCTGATGTTTTCAATTGGAATAGTGCTACTAGTACTACGAGTAAAGTTACTGCTACAGTTTCGACTTCTATAACCGACCTCCAGATACCAGCAGACCATTCTTTCGGCGACAGCACTTGGTATAACCCAACAGCATTCAACGAAACTAAAACCGAAGCATTCGGAGAATCATCACAGTTCTCAGCCTGGGGAGACGAACGCAATATTCAAAACATCCCCCCGCAGCGTACTATTCAAGAAACATTATTTGGGAATTTTACAGCGTCTGAAACTACATCGTTTGTGATGCTGATGCTAAACTTGAATACTAGGCAGGGACTTTGCAATAGAACGCGACTGAGAGTGACCCAACTGCGTCGCAACTTCCTTGAAGCCATTTACATGACGGGTCCACGAGCAGGACGTCGTGTGCTAATTCCACGCATTACGCTGATCACCAAGGATTCTGGATTGCCTTTTGAAATAAGGCGGAAACAATTTCCTTTGCAGGTCGCCTTTGCGATGACGATTAACAAGTCCCAGGGCCAGTCCATCCACCATGTCGGTGTGTATCTCCCTGAACCAGTATTCTCACAAGGGCAACTTTACGTAGCGATATCTCGAATTACATCACGCAAAAACATCAAGCTTCTTCTCTGTGACCCCACCACGTTGGGATCTAGTAATACTTACACGAAGAATATCATTTACAGGGAAATCGTAGGTTAAAATGGCTACAATGCAATACATTTTTCGAAATTTAAAAATTTCCGCCGAGCGAAGCGAGGCGGGTGCCCTGCCAGCTCGGCTTAACACTGTTCATAGAGCCCCGCTTAGCGGGCTCCGCTCGGCTTGTCAGCTTTGATAGGTGGCTTCCCACAGCGTTGCAGAAAGAAGCAAGAAAATAGAATTCCTTTTCGCGTAGGGTTCGAATCATACTACGACTTATGAAGCGTTTGTTATTAGTATTAGGGCACGATACTATCATTAAATATTTGTAAATAGTGTATACAGTATAATGCATGAGAAAATAAATTATCGTGCAGCTATAATTATATACATATGTATGATTCTAAAGCAACAAGTTTTGAATTTTATCGAAAAGGAGGGCACTGGAGCGATTCCTGCAGATATGCAGGTGGCTACGATAATACGGTGTGCATTAAACGTATAGATTGCACTAACCAACGTGGAGGTTTAAACATTATAGAGATTGCTCAAAAGTGGTCAATAATTTGTACGATAATTTAGGGTAATCGTTCAATAAAAAAGCGGAGGCGGTATAAATCTTAACAAGCGCGACCATACATAAATTACCGCAGCGTAGCGGCGGCGTTCGGCTAGTTTGGTCGAGTAATCTGACACGGAGGGAGTACATAGTATCCTGGAAGGTCAGCTAAAAGCTGGGCGGAAAGCCTCGCCAACTTTAATTCGGCCAGGCGCAAATGTCGCCTGGCCCTCTAACAACCTTCACTCACCCAAGGACATTTTGTTATTTGAAATTTCAATATTTTTGGTTTAAATTTCGAAAAAGTACTATTGAACGAGTTAAAAAAATTACGAGTTTGTGTAAAGAGTTAATAAGTCGTTAGCTACAACTTGCTGCTTCATCGACCGATATAGAAATTCAGTGTACTTACATCCTGTTGGGTGTAATATCTAAGCCGTGTTTCTTGAAGGAATCATAAAGTAGTAATGTTGGTTGACTATTGTATTCGCTCAAATCGTAGTTTTTATAATAACATGAGTGGTCAGATAGGTTCTATGGGACCTGTGTGTTATTTTTAGCGATTCTTTCAAGTATTCACCTTTACAAGTTAATGTTCAAGAGCGAAAATGTGGTTATGTTTGAAAGCTAGAACTGAAAGCGTCGTTTTCCATCGCCAAGCTTTCGTGCATTTGATATTGCCCAGAATCATTATAATAATTGAATTTTCCTCAGCGTCCTGTACAATGTATCAATCT